TTACATTACCAATGTGATGCGACAAAGGAATTTGTTCAAGATATTAGAGATGTACTTGAACGTTTAGATTCAACTGAGAGAAGCAGGGTGTTGGAAGAAACGTTTAATAATTACGGTAATTACTTAGTCACGTCTGCAACTGCCGGGGGTGTTATTACAATTAAAAATTGGTCTGAAATCGATGATGCAAGTAGATCGCGCTTAAAAATCTATCTTCAATGGAGCATTGAATATGCGAAGGGTATAAGCTTAAAAAACTTTGAAGATGCATTTATTGACGACTTGAATTTAGATATAAATTCAAAAAAAGTGCAAAATGCCGGGGAATTATACAGATGGATTAAAGATCTATATAATTATGAGGGTTTACAAATTATATCATATGAAAAATTTATGCCGACATATCAATTATTACCGGAAGATTTGATTCAAAAAACACTAGAATATTCTAATATTCAACATATTGATGAGTCAGAATTTATTTCAAGAACTCACTCTCAATATGATAAAAAAAGCGTTTTAGAGTGGTTAACATCGTCGGACCTTCCATTAATGTTACATATATGTGATTGGATTCAAGACAATTCATTACATTATGGTACAATTTTACAACGCTCAAAATTGGGACGAGCTAAGAAGGCTGCTTTTAGATTTTTAAGGGAACCTAAAATAACTCAAATAAATAAAATTACTATCATCTTAACGCAACCTAAGACTCGTCAAGAAGCTTATTTATTAGAAAATGGTATTATTTTAAAGGAAGAGGATGGACTAGAACTTGATAAAATTCCTTTTACTGAGCATAGTTTAATACCTGACATTCCTTTGGAAAACTTTAAGAACTCTAAAAAACAATTTTCCAATGCAATTTATTGCCAAATAATTTTTCATACCATAAAGATTTCATTTGACCTATCAGATATTAAATATTCACCAGAATTTTTAAATGCAGTAGATTCTGCACTTCAGGAACAAAATGAACCATCTAAATATGAAACTCTTTGCAAGTTATTCGGTGAGGATTATGGACATTTATTACCGAAAACTTTAACTTTAGGTGGAGTTTTATCAAAAAAGTATATATCAAATAATTACCCTGCAGACATTCCAACGCAACAATTAGATATCAAAGACGATGATCCTGATGTACATCAAAAAATTGAAAATCTTTTAGAAATATGGAATAAAGAATTTAAAGATGTTAATACTTCTTTTTTTCTTAATAATGAGGGTGATCTTATTTATCGTAATAATATCGGTGATTGGGTGAAAACTCTTGCTGCTGAACCAAAGAGTTGGAATATTGTATCTTTGGAGGATTGGATGCAAATTTATAAGGTACTTGAAAATAAAGTTGTATAATAGGAGGTACAATGTAGCCGCGTAGCATAATAAAATGTATAGAAATATATAGTATAATATTTATTAATAATGAAAACATGTAATTAATCACTGTAAAACATTAAACACCGTCATATATTGAATAAAATTTTTTAAATAATTTTTAAGTATATTTAGAGATTTAGAGATGTAAAATTTTATTAGTGATATGTGGATATGCTGTGTAATTAAAGATTTATTACATTTAAGATTAAAGATTATAGGTATAGTGCCCGACAAAAGTTTTCTCGCATCTCTAATTTGGCAAGAGGTGAAGCAGATTAAAATTTTTATTTATAAGATATTGGTCATGCAACGATTAGGATCATGAAATTTGTTTGGTCGGAGC